AATGAAGAAACGTAGGACCACACGGGCCATAGGAGTGGTCATCCAGGAAGCCAATCGTTTGGATTTGTCATGTCATATCTCACTTTGCTCATCTCATGTCACGTTGCCATGTCATATCTCATGTGCGTAGAATAATCGCCAAAACTGTCGCTTTCTAGTGTGAACGTAAGGTAACATTCCAAAAGATCATTTTCTTCTCACTTCCTTGTGGTTCATATGGACTTTTAAGAAGAAGTTTTTCGGAGACCAACATTGTTTAAGACTTGTTAGAAGCCCACCAGTTTCATGAATAAACCAGGGAAAAGTGAATGATATTGACGTGCATAGAAGTAGAAGAAAGGCCACTTTTGTTGGCTTTACCTTCTTGTCAGCTTCTTCTGTTCACCTGTGGTCCAAATCCAACTCCATTAAAGTGTCTGTCTCTCTCTCTCTCTCTCTCTCTCTCTCTCTCTCTCTCACACACACACACACACACACACACACAGACACACACACACACTACTCCCTCTGTGTGTGACCTGATTTCACAGTAACAGTAGAACTATCCAGAAACAAAATGTGGCTTTGTGTCCGTGTGTGAGAACTTTCTTCGTTCGATCGGAAATTTACACACACAGTGCTGGTTTGTCTGCTTTACCAGACAGAACATGGATTAGAGAATTAGTGTAACACAAGTACCTGGACTTTAGTTTGAGTAAGTGTGTGTTAGGTCAGGATCTTCTGCTTCTCGAAGTGGGCATAGCTACAGTATGTGAAGCATAGCCAGGGGGTCTGTGAGATTTTTATTTAGTTACAGTGGTGGACATCACATTTGAAGCAAGTTAGATTCGCGCCAGTTTATGGCCCTACAAGGGCTCACAAAAATGGTGCTAATATATTGTACAGATAAAATATTATTGTACACATTTAAATAATGTTCATGAAATAAATCTGCCAAATGAATAAATGTAAGTCTGTACTGAAGGGTTAAAGTTTATTTTAGAGTTAATGATTGAGAGTCTCTGCTCTATAAAACACCTAATGGAGGTAATCAGGATTCTTACAGGTGATGTGGCAATATTACTTCACCCTAGAAATGCATTCTTTCTGTTCATGAGGAAAAACTCTTACAGTTGTTCAGTAACTGATTATTCCACATATCTTTGACACTGGGAAAAGAAGACCTGTACTTAAAAACAGTCTACAAGTGTAATCATAAGGAGTCATAATCTCCTTATCCGGTGTCACCCACAGGTTCCCTCTTGAGTCTGGTTCCTCTCAAGGTTTCTCCCTCATGTCGTGTCAGGGGTTTTATTCCTGCCGCCGTCACCTCTGGTTTGCTCATTAGGGATCGAAATCTACATCCGGCTTTTAGTGTTATATAAATAAAACTGAATTGAATTGCATATGAAAACATGGGAAACTTTATGCATCAATCAACATAGTTACAGTTTTGTTAACAACCCTTTTACACACTGTTATCACACACTGGCACATGTTTCTAAATAATCCTTAAACACACACACACACACACACACACACACACACACACACACACACACACACACAAAATTCCAGTCTCATTTTGTGGGATTGTGAATCCTAATCCTCATTCTGTAATCCGTTTTTCAGTCCTTCTCTGCCATCACATCCACCAATATCCCTCCTTTCCTAGTACCTTTTCTGACATTGCTTGCAAAATGACTCGTTCTGCTTCACTGGAGAAAAAAAAACAGCCTTTGCATAAAGAATCCTCTGTTTTTATGGAAGTAGGAAAGGTCAAGTATTCCCTCTGTGGCTCTGACAGGAAATTTGGCAGCTCTTCAGAGACCGTGTAGACCATGTAAACACCATCCACCACCTCTCACCGACTGTCTTCTTTCCTTGTCATAGGTCCTGAAATCTGAAATCCTTGGCTGATTTTTTTCTTTCTTTTTCCTTTTTTCTTATTATTTGTTTGAATGCATGTTCACAGCATGAAGTTCTCACAACCAGTGTACAGTGTGTGTGAGTGTGTTTGAACAAAATATTTCTCCGCACTTGACCTTGATTTAATCATATAGATGTTTATAGTGAGACAGCCAGGCACCAGGAACGTCTGAACATCTAGGTTATCAGGTCATAGCTTGACAGCTTGAAAAAATGCGTTAATGTGGAAAGCAACAACATTAATGCGGAAAACGACAACGTTAATGCGGAAAGCGACAAAGTTAATGCGGAAAGCAACAACGTTAATGCGGAAAGCAACAAAGTTAATGCGGAAAGCAACAACGTTAATGCGGAAAGCGACAAAGTTAATGCGGAAAGCAACAACGTTAATGCGGAAAGCGACAAAGTTAATGCGGAAAGCAGCAACATTAATGCGGAAAGTGACAACGTTAATGCGGAAAGCGACAAAGTTAATGCGGAAAGTGACGACGTTAATGCGGAAAGCGACAACGTTAATGCGGAAAGCGACAACGTTAATGCGGAAAGCGACAACAATAATGCGGAAAGCGACAAAGTTAATGCAGAAAGCAGCAACATTAATGCGGAAAGTGACAACGTTAATGCGGAAAGCGACAACGTTAATGCGGAAAGCGACAACGTTAATGCGGAAAGCGACAACCTTAATGCGGAAAGCGACAACAATAATGCGGAAAGCGACAACGTTAATGTGGAAAGCAACAATGCTAATGTGGAACATACAGTAACATTAATGCGCAACATCATGTTTATGGGGAACACAACAACTTTTAGACAGAACAAAACCATGTTAAGGCAGAACACAATGACGTTAATGCAGAACAGAAACATACTAACCATCTCACTAAAAGCACCATGGTGGTGTTTCTGCTGAAATCATGTGATCATTTGCGCGTATTTAGTGCTAATGAGGAAATCAGCAACATCAGCGCGGAACAGAACAATGATTAACGGAAACACAAATACATCAAGGCAGAACATAACAGCGTGCTCACACTTCCCACTAGACTGGTACGCCAGTGCGAGGAATATTCCTCTGGTTTGAAATCACTTACAGTACACTTATGTTACTGAACTAATAAAATATCCAAATATCACAGTACCGTAATCTTAAATTGCAAATCTGGAATTTAAAACATGTAGCATGGTTAAGGCTTGAGGTCAGAGAAAATCCATAATGTCCATTTGGGGTCGTTTGCCCAAAAAGTTTGGGAATCCCTGCGTTAATACCTGTCTTCCATTCAGACTCCTGTTTCACTGATACATCTCTTAAGTCATAAAAAGGAAATTGTTAGTAACTCAGAATAAACGTTCATTTGTGGACAGTTCACGTTCCACCAGGACTTTCCCTTCATCATTTAGATGAAATTCCTTTATACCTCAATTAACACCAATGCTTTTCTTTAACCTTTATATCATAGATTAAGTGAACACCAGTTAGACTTCTCTTTTGTTATTTTATTCAGTAATCTTCATTAATACAGAAGAATCACAGTTTAACACGTCTTAAGTTAACTGGTTTGTGTGTCATTGGCGCCCTCTGGTGGACAACAGATGATATTTCCTTTTTTTTTTTTTTAGCCACCAGATGTCGCCATTTCCTCACAAATACAGTAGGTCTGTTCCCTTACTGCTTTTGTCATCTTGCCTGTTTCATTTGTGAATGTCGTCTACCAAACAAAGAAAAATGCTTTCAGTCCACACAAAAATAAGCATGTAATGAAAATATTTCCTAGGCCAATACATAAAAGTGGCTCACATCAGCAGTGTGGGATTTTCAGGCAGAAGTCACATCTCCATTTGCAAATTTGCTCTCATTAACTCCAATTAATCACACACACACACCTTATGTTAAATAAAGTTAAATTTAATGTTGTCGAAAGTGCATGAAATAAGTTAGTCCCTGCTTTCACTTGCGCTGTAGTAGCCAATTGGTCGTTCCCTCACCAGCGTCTCCTTTTGTGAAGTATCTACTTGTTAAAATGAAAATTTAGGATAAAGTTGGACAATAAAAGCATTTCAAATCTTTGCACTGATGTGATTGGGGTGTCTTGCTGCGTAGACTTTTGGATCCTTTGCAACAAGGGAATTTGCTATGGAAAAGCGGCACTTTCTCTCTCGTACAGAAAGCACCCAGTAACCTCACAGGCCATTTTTCTCACCTGTGGCCTGTAACTGATATTTATTTGTCTGCTGTCCAGTTTCTGATCTGGCAACATGTGGACAAAGGTGCACCTAATTCAGTGGACGGTATATGGCCGTGACAGAGCAGCCTCACTGCTAATTTTGCTAAGCATGTTTCCCAGGTAGTTCACGCCAGTGGGCTCTCTAGAGTACCACAAAGACATGGTGTCCAACTCACTCTGAGGTTTGCGACAAGGATGGAGGTAGAAGGATGTTGCATCATGGGAGGTTTCTCAAAATTTTGATCATTTACTTTATAGATACAGTTAGGGTCACCATGGCAGATTATTGATCCGCATATTTTGATTTGGCACAGTTTTTACGCCAGGTGCCCTTCCTGATGCAACCCTCCCCAATTTTTATCCAGGCTTGGGACCAGCACTGGATTGCACCAGTGGCTGGGGTTGGCTGCCTAGCCGGGAATCGAACCCGAGCTACAGCGGTGAGAGCGACGAGGCGTAACCACAAGTCCTCCAGGGATCAATATACACTAATATAATATAATAAACACCATTAGTTCAAACTATTTACATGGCCATCATCTGGGACAGGAGGCATTGGGGTCTTGTTGAAGGTCATTGGTTCAAGAGAAAATGTGGACGCTGGATTCAGACGTCCAGCACAGCAGCTTGTCCCAAAGTATCCAGTCAGATGTTGACGTCATGGGCAGGGTCCCCCGAAACCAGATTCCTGAGCAAGGGAGGACACGTGGGACGCCCTGAACATCACCCAAAAATGTAAGGAGTAAAACATATGGGCTTATTTTTTCTCAGTGTAACCAAGTAAGAGTACTTTTTGTATGTTTCAGCAATACTCAAGTAGAGTATAAATCCAGCATAATAATACTTATGTGTACAATTATTAAAAAGATAAGCATTTGCTTGGTTTTACTTTTAGAGAATCACATTGGTTGGATTTTATAGCATTTGAGAGTGAACAGGTTTTCTTCTTCCTCTCTCTGAATTTTTCGATCTGAAAGCGTTTCCTGCAGGACAGGAAAAAGCGAGACGTCTTGGATTCTGGATGCTATCTGCTGGTAGCTTTAAGACATTACAGACTTCTACATGCTGAGGCGATTCCGAAGAATGTGGAGGGGGAAAAAAAAACAGTTTCCTGAATGACATTCACTGCCATTACGTTGGAGATAAAGTACTAACAGTAAAACAGATTTATTTATTTATTTATTTTTATAGCATAAAAGCAGATTTATGCTATACATGTACACAATTATAAGATCTGTATTTAAATTTGCTTAAAGCTAGTCATTTGTTTTCAGATCACACGTACTGATATACTTTCCGTAATCCATGCTGTAGGTTAAAGGAAGTTTCAAAATCGACAAAAATAACTATATAAATGTTTGCATAAAATGTTAGATAAAGACTGCTATTAAATACGCCTCTCCAAATTTCTGAAAACGCATGGACATGCTGATATCTATAGACAGCACAAACAGAAGGACTTTAAAATCTTTAGGTCTTAGCTCCATCTTGAATCCAAATCAGCTTTTTCGTCGGCACATCGTTTGACATCACAGTGCTCAAGCATTAGACTCGGCTCGGAGGCGTGGCTTAAAGTCTGAAGTTGGAATTGGACTTGTGTTTTAAATCAAAGTTTACACCACAAGAATTTGACAATTACAACAGCTTTACTTATTAAAGAACGACCCCTCATATCTTTTGTAGTTATATTTTTAACGTGGCGGAACATCCATGAAACAAGTTCGTTCCTGTTAACATTTACGTCATAGCAGCTATAAACAGTCGTTCCCTCATCAGCTTTTCTTCACTTCTTGCTCCCGAAAAATGGCAAAGCTCAAAATCCTCTGTCCTGCCTTAAGGCGGAGTGCGTGGAGTACTTAAACCAATATTCAAACCTAAAATATTGATGTCAATATTCCTTCAATCTTTTTAAATATACTGTTTAAATTATACATAGTTAATTTATCACAAATCCTGTATAAAAAAAAGTATAAAACCACATTAATTTGGAGTCTATTGTTTTATTATTAATAATGATAATAATTCTTATTATTTTAATAGTAGCCTTAGATTTAATAACACATTTATTTAT